AAAACGCAGCGGTCTGGCCAAAGGTATAATGTGTAACTCGTTGCATAGTGCCAAATGGCAGTTATGCTCCGAGTGGCTTGGAAGCTAAACTATGGTTGAAACTCATGAAGGCAAAGTTGACATGGTTTTGGAGTACCAGTAACTAAGTGGTTGAGGTACAGAGTACAGTCCAACCTGCCCACGTGGATGAGGAGCTTGTTTTTCAATTGGACTGGATAGCAGGGGAAGGTGGGGACTACGTTCATTGGGGCCCCTCAGTTACAACGTACGACTGTTTCAAACAGTCACATTAAACTAGTTAAACTGTATCGGGGATTGGAGCTAACGGACCCGTCAAAATGTTTGACCATAAGCAGCACGTGTAGAAGAGGTCAGAGCTCATTTAACACATGCATTTTTTATTGACCCATTCAACAACTACAATATCATCAATTAACTTGCTTTGCGGTTTCGACATGTCAACCAAGCCAACTCTACATGTGTGCTTGGTCACGATTAATAACTTCCTCGAACGGATTATTGCTCTCCTCCCGCGACCGCTGTCCTGAAATTCACATGCAGGACTGTCTGCTCCCACCCATAGCCTTCGTTCAACAAAATTTAAAAATCCGAGAGACGTCTAAAAGTCGTCCGTCCCCGTGGGTTGTATCAGCCACACCACAACATGAGAAGTCAACAAATTATTGGGAAAAACCATCAGCCCTTTATGTGTTTGCTAGCACTTTCTGAACTTGTTTCAGCATATCATAGCCGTCCAGCAGTTTTGTAAGCACAGGTGCGCTGAAGTAGAGTCGTACGTCCCTGCACCCCGTGTTTGAGTACAACTTGTACAGTTTCACGCTAGATGGTTTCCGATTATTCCGATTGCCGGCAAATAAAGCTAACAACATAATTGCATAAACACTTAGGCGCCACAGTGCTCTGATTGGTCAGTCCGCATAAAACGCACATGAGGTTTCATATTCGACTAGTTTGCAATACGCTTAGCAAGGACCTTTTCACATAGATTTGAGACATTTGCAGCCTTTGTAAAAGCAGGCATCAAGATACGTGAAGCTTATTTTGTTGAAGCAAACAGATAAAGGAAATAGAACTAGCTAGTTGCTTACAACTGTTTCAAATGCATTTACACCTTTTTTTTTAAAAAAGCTAACCGACATTTGCAACCGTTCCAGCTTGCCTAATACACGAACGACTTAATTGTACTCAGCTCATGAATATACGTATCCAAGTTCCAGTATTCTATGCCTTGACTAAATCATCTTAAAATAAAGTGGCCATGTAAATCGCCCGAGCACTCGTAAGAATATCAGCTCGGAATCACTTTCTTCCAGCAGTAATTTAGACGCAAAGGTCCTGCTTCGCCTCGCTCCTCAAGAGGTTCAATCTCACCTTAACGTGCATTTAATGCTACCACCAGTCTCATTCTCATGGCTACAATGTTGTTCTTTCAACCAGGGCTGACTAGAAATTCTCTATGGCTATCGTTGGTCCTATACACGACTCTTTTCGTGCTTTTCGGTTTCAGCGATGGTCATCCATTCTCCAGCCAAAGCTGGTTGCAAGTCATTCGTCGAGGCGGCTGCACTTCGAAGCAAGACCCACAATGCAACCCGCCATCAAAATATCCTTCAGACAAGGCACCCGCAAAAACATACCCTAAGTTCGAACCCAAAGTGAACAAAGAGGACATATGGGTTGTTTTCCGCGGCGATTCACGAAATCCAACAGATATCGAAAAAGCGCGTGGCTTTTCTCCACAAGGAACTCCCAGTGACGATCAGATTGAAGGGGCCAGCAGCCTATTTAAGCACGTCACTGACAAAGAGGTCAGGCAGTATAGACAGTATGTTTCGACAACTATGGATCCAGTACAAGCCGTTGAGTTCGGTCAATCGACCGGGTACATTTATGTGATCAGTCCGGACGCCAAGATGGTCGATGTGAGGGAAACTCTCAGACCGCACTTGGAAGAGAAATTCATGAAGGAGATGGAACAGGCTGCCGTAGCGAGAATTCCCTTCGAGCAAATCAGGGGGTGGTATAAGACGTCAGACCTCCGCGGCAAGAAATCGAAATTAATGGAAATACGGAGAGCAATAGAGACAGGCACAGCTACGTTTCCTGACCCATTCATTAAGAACAAGAAATACGATATAAAATACGACACGACGCGACCAAGCGGAGCGAGGCCAGAAATAGCCGGGTTTCCTCCAAAACATCAGGCATGGAAGCAGAAACCTTGGAGCGATTACAAGCCAGACGGTAAGAAGAAAAAGGTTTCAAGTTACCTGAAAGATTTAATTCAGGAGGTAGCACCGGGTCAGTCCAAATTGCCAACACCGCCCGAAGTGCCAGGTGGATTAGGAGGAAACAAGAAACCTCCGGGGGGGACAGGAGATGCAGGCAAAGGTACTGGCAACGGCAAGGTCGAAAGCGCAAGCGGGAGTATTTGCAAGAGGGATACAAGCTGCTCTAAACTGGTGGAAACGGCTGAACAGATCTCGGAAAAGAAATTCCTGCAGCTCGCGGACGAGCATGGGGTGGCCAAGATTGCGGAGGAGAGGTGGTCCATGTCTCTCCCGGATGTGCGCAAAGAGCTCAAATACCAGCGGCTTTCTCTGGGTTCCATCAAGTCAATGCTTTCAAAGGCTGGCAAGGAAGTGCTTGGAGATCCTCTCTGGATCCTCGGCGTGGTTGATGCGTTCACCAGTGATGTGACCAAATTGGACCGGTTCGCGGCTCTTACTGCAATTATTCCCGTCGTCGGCTGTGGCGCGCAGGCTGCGGCCGACGAGGAGAAGGGAAACGTAGATCCGATGGATACTTTCCTGTGTGTTTTTGGCGATGTGTTGCTTCTGACCCCTGCTTGGCCTGTGGGTGTCGCTATCAACATCGTGAGGGCCGTCAGGGGATTTTTCAGACCACCAAAAGTGCCCACAAAGGAAGATATGCAGACATCCCGCGATCGTGCCTGGAATAGGTTCCTTGATGACCGCATCTACACATATATCTACTCGCACCCATACAATTCTAAGAAAGGTAGCTTTTCGGACAAGCTGAACAGCTCTCTGGCCATTGAGGCTTTAGCGGTGCTTTCTCAAGGCGCGCAGACGGTTGGCGCGGCACAGGCGGCTGTACAAGACGCTTCGGGGAACGGCAACTCTACTATGGTGGCCACCAGGCTTCAAGAAGCGATGTCGAATGAGATTGTACGCAGACAACGTCAGGTTCTCATAAATCTTCCTAAGGCTCTTAAAAAAGACACTGAAGGATCACTTGGACCTCTGGCTGCAGATTACAACAAGGGCTTTGTTGGCAATCTAACGACCCAGGATATGGTTAATAGATACAAGGAGACCTTTGTGGGGGATCCTGAGGTCCCGGGTTCAGCACGCACTAACGAGGACGAAGTTCGTGCCAAATTGAAAGATATCGCGACATATCTTGAAAAGACACCCCCAAAATTGCCTGGTCTCTTCGACCTTGCTTATATTATCGGACAGTCCAGAGGAATGGTGTCGCTTGACCCAAAGACGCTGTCTCCTGCGGATCATGTAAATGCTACGGCACCAGGACAGTCGGAACTTTACGTCAATGCGCTCTCTCTCCATCACGCCGTCCAAGTTGCAAGATTACTTAGGGGTAGTATTACCGAGGATAAGCTCTCTACCGAGTTCCCAACCAAGGATGGCGCAAGAGACCTTCAAATTCTGATTGCCATGAAGTTTGGCAGAGTGTACGATGAAGCCAAATTCAAAATGGCCGACGAAATGTTCAAGGGGTCAGCAGCATATTTCATTGATCTACAAGATCCCAACGCGATTCGGGTCCTTACTCATCCGGATATTCCTGCTGTCAAAGCAAACACCGAAGCTGTCCCGTACCTGGCTCTCGTTACGGGACTAACTGATAACTTAATTGAAAACTTACGTCGTTTGAAGGATACTAAAACAGTGGGAATGACACAGGTGATAATGGACATGCTGAAGAAGATAGAGGGACAAGCTCAGCAGCCAGGCTTCCAGTGGGATAAGGCAATCAGAAAAGCAAAGGAGATAAATGCCGCTGATCGTGCCGCACATGACAAGATACCTTCAGCTTTTTGAGTTTACTCCCCATTCAATGTATATTCTTTAAACATGGCAACGCTAATAAATGGGCCAATTAACGCCAAGTTCGGGTTTAAAGCTGCGGAAACATATGTCACGAATTTGGAAATTAAACGCGAATAATCAGCTATTTAAATGTGGACAAATGGGCTACCCGCAATGCTCTTCATTTCTCTATTCTTAGATCGCTTTTCTCTCCGGTTCTCAGCAAATTTAGAGTGTATATAACTGTTAAATTCTCATTGCATTGTAGGTTCATCGTTACGTTGAGCTCTATTTAGTTCCTGGTACCATGTTAAAGTGCCATGTCTTTAAGGAGGTTGCATGCGCCGCTTCAGCACTGTTTGCAAAGCAAGGGTGGAATTATGAGCGTCTACATCTGCAGTCATTCTTGAAGAGTGTTTGCGGATGTAAATGGATAGGAGCTGAATTTCTCGTTCTATTTGTTACCAATACAACCTTTCTGGATCTAGGGTGAACTCAGTGCTAGTTTGGCTCATACGCTTGGATGAATCAATGTGAAAGAAAACTGGACACTACACGGGACGTGCAGGCGGCGGTGTAGGACTTACATTTGCAATGATCACTTTTGCGCTATTCAGAGAAACTAGAGGATTACAGTCCTGTATTCGAATAGGTGGAGGATTATCATGGTCTTTCAGAAGAGAAACAACACAACTAGTACAGGGTGACTCAGGACCCAAATGCATGTCAAGCATCATGGGCACATATACGGAGTACTCCATACGTAACGGACATTTCCGGGGATCACTCTGAAAGGCAAATTTTATTTCATCAGACAAGCATTTATCTCTCCAAGGTATTTTTCTCTTCCCAAGTCCCCACGAGACATCGGAGCACCCGCACAAGATGATCAAAAAAAATTAAAGGCCCGCACCAGATTCGAACTGGTGTCTTTGGAATTCAGGTTCAACGAATCAAAATCCAACGTCCTAACCCCTAGACTAGCGCGCCCCACTAATTTCCTTTTCAACGAAATTCGTGAGGTTTGTGGAAGCTGGCTTTTATTTTGAACTATATAGCCTCGACAAGATTAGATAAGGAATTACCTAATAGGACCGGCCGGCTCGCAGGTCAGTAGCAGCACGTGCCATCATTTGACTTGTATTTTCCTTTGTTTTTTGGGCAATCGTCATTTGATTTTCTACATAAGTCGATAGTTATAGTCCCATCGCGAGCTGCTCAAAGGGTTGCATGATTGATTTGTGCGGCGTCTAGACACTGGCGCATGTTAAGAAGGGACACGCCTGTGAACCATTCTACTCGGTGCGCAGCAGACTCCGCTCCGAGAGCACCACAACTTGGTATTAAAAGGTGTTATATATGCATAGGTAGGGATATCTGTACTCGAATATGTATGTGTCTTCTCATGCGTCTTCGTAATGTAATTGTTCCCCCGTCGCTCAAATCCAATTGACTCCGTCACCCGGCGAGTATGCAATTTCGCCCGGAATGCTCTAAACAACCAACAAATCCACTCAATCAAATCTGCATCATCTGTGCACCCAGACAATACGTTGTGTCCGCTGCACACCAGTCTTCCGTCCGTGTCTTACAATCCAAGTTCCACAACCCATTCCGCCATCATCGCATTGCTTTGTTGACTTTCTGTGGTCGGCGTGCGGTCGGTGGCATTGGGCCGACTCCTTGAAGCACCCATAAATAGCTGCTTCCGCTGGGCATGTTGTCTCTTCATTTATCGTGGCCTTGGGATGCGTCGTCACCATACAATCAAGCAATAGCTTTTTCCGCTTTGACAAAACAAACTTTGCGCACATAACCGGTCATACTCAACCAGCCCACCCCAACATCTCCAAAGTGCCTCTTGCCTCCGTTGGAGTCATACCAGCCACGCCAAGTTGTCGAACTTGTGTGCCGCCTCTCAGACGTTGCAGACCGAACGCAAGCTTCCAACTTTCCTGCTCGTTAATTACAAACATGTATCTTTTTCCTTCTTGGTCGCGTACGGTGGCACGGAGGACGTGCAAGCCCTTGGACTTCCATGCTCCGGTCTGGCCGGCGGAAGACTGGATGTTAGTATTCTTGAATGTTCGGTCGCACAAACCAAGACGGCAGCAATCCTTGCAGGCACGCAGCATCTCGGTAAGATAAGTGTCGGCTTCATCACCGGTCAAGGTTTTCTGACTATCACGACCTGCGTTTCTTCGGGCTGTTGCCATCTTATAAAGCAAATGGGGGGCGCTCTTTTGACCAGACGAGGGGTTGGACGCAGCAGAAGCAGACGAATTCAAGCAGTGCGGGGGGCACCATACCTCGACAAGTTTGAGAGTCCACGCCTTGACGTCCCATTCTCGCTGGGGGACACCGCGGACATCGTCGTCAATAAAGAGACCTTCAGTTGTAATCCGCAGGATGAGGCCATCGGTAACGGAGCCTACGCCAGAGACAAGTTGACTTGCGGGTGTCTTGGCATATTGGTTCATAAAGAGGTACACAGCCTGTATGACAATCTTGTCGGGGTCCTTCGTTGTGTACGGACCGCGCACCGACGGAGGTGGTGACGTCCGGGACGTTGTATGAGACTGTGCCCAAGATGCGTCGGAGCCTGTAAAGGAGGATACAGAGGGCCGTCGATGTGTCTTCTTTGGTCGATCATATGGCCGAAATGAGTAAGCATCGTCGTCCGCGGTGCTGACATATGTTCTTGCCGTCGGAGGGGGAGGCTGCTTTTCCGGACTGGGAGGTTTTTTCGTCGGTGATGAGCCTGCAGATCCAGTTTGCGGAGGACGACCGTTTGGCCACATGCTCGTCCGCTCGCCAACACTAGAGAAGGCATACGAGCTGCTTGCTCGAGCCGCACCTTCCGCAGGAGCCCCAGACACTGTCGCTGTCGCCGTCACCGTCGCCGCTGCCGCTGCCGCCGCGTCTTTCTTCTTTTGTTCCTCTTTCTGCCTTTCTTCTCTCTCCCTCTTCAGCCTCTCTGCAAGCTCTTTGCGCCGTTGTTCAGCTTCTTCCTTCAGCTTCTTATCCTTTGCTTCTTTTTCTTTACGTTCCCTTTCCTTCTCTCGCTCTTGCCGTTCCCTTGCTTCCTTAGCCCGTAGTTCTGCAAGTCGCTTTGTGGCCTCTTCTCTCCGTTTTTGTTCTGCTTCTTTTGCTTTCCGCTCTTCTTCCTTCTTTCTCGTTTCCTCACGGGCCTTCTCCCAAGAACCCTTTGGCGTTTGTGGCTTAGCTGTGTTCGGCTGCGGGGGTGGTTTATGCCATGACGTTTTCGGCTTCTCGGGTTGAGGCGGCGGTGATTGCGCTCGAGTTTGCGGCGGTGGACCGCCTCCTCCACCACCCGAAGGAGGAGGCGGGCTGTTATGAGGCGGTGGACGTGGTGGTGGCCCTCCTTGAGGTCCATGTGCGCCTCCATTAGATGATGCGCCAGGACTTGAAGCTCCGAATCCGCCTGGTGCATATCCCGCTCCTCCGCCACTACTATACGAACTCTGATGATGACTCGAACTTGAGGATGGACCATCCTTTTGTGTTCTCCCCAAAGCCCAGGCGCCAAAACCAACGCCGAATATGAGAAGCGTGATGCCCATATTTCCCAAGCCTTGGAAGCTTTCCCACCACGCCCGAAAAGCAGGTGCCATGCTCTGGAATAAGGCAACCAATATCAAAGCGGAAGCGAATCCCGCAAAAAAACTGTTGACATTAGGCTTCAGAGATGGCAGATAGAGAAATCCCGAGCCTGCTGAATGCTCCGGTATGACAAAGATGTCATATTTGCCTGGCGGTAACCCTGACGATCTCGGCGCCTCGCCATGCGGCGGGGGCGGAGGAGGCGCACTCATGTCGTCGTTTCAATGCCCGTAGTATTCACAAAGTCGATCGTATAGACTTAAGTAACGGGTGTGACGGAAGGCGCAGATTGATGCCAGTCGGTTATCGGGTTTTCGACAAAGCCATGTGAATCCGTTACGAGGAAAACGCTGTGGAAGGTTAGCTATATCGGTTGCGATGAGAGAGATTACGTCGACAAAGCATCAGCATTTTGGAGTCCAGCATGCGAAATAGACTCACCAGAAAAGAAGTCAGGATAACAGAAAGCGAGCAAAGCATACGAAACGCCGGGCTCCGAAACAAATGCAGACAACTAGAAGAATACAAAAAGATGCAAAAGTTGCTCGCAATGCCAGAAGGTAACGACTAAGGAAGGACTGAGGTATCACTGCGCTGCAGAGGATTAGTACGGACAAGTGTTGATGCAAGAAGAATGATAGAATTAGCCAAGGCCAGCGTCAGGGCCTGTGGTGGCTGCAAACTGTGGCAAGCTGCGAACTGCGACGGGTTGCGAGGCCAGATGGGGGAGTGCTAGTGGCCAGTGTCACATTGTTTACCTCGGGGTCGAACGAGCAAGGAAAAAAAAACGAGGGACTGGATCAGTCGACAGCCTGATGCTCCTTTTCCGTTCAGGCGGGGCAGTGGCAGGGGGTGAGTGGGCGTTGCAACGAGCAGCAGTGGTCTGCAGTGGGCTGTGGTGGACTCTGGTGGGCTCTAGTGGATGCCGACCGCCACCACGGGCTCTGCGGTTGGTCCCGTCTGTCACTAAAGCTGCAAGCTTTGTGACACTAAAGACCTCGACTGCTACTCGGTACTCGTTGATAGTTCAGTCGTTGACGACACTGGTTGACCGCTGGATGACATACGCAACCAATACATTCTGGTCACAATTGATGGAAGGATACGTATTCACTGGTTGAAAGAACGTGGAAGCTAAGTAAATGCTGCATATATTGACCACCGTGCACAGGCGGGGAATTGTGCACTCGTGGTGAAAACCACTCACTATCACATTCCGGGAACATCCTAGGAACGGGGTCGTGGTCGGAAGTTGGAGTGCGGAGTACTTGATCGTCCCAAAGCATGTCGAACGAAACATGCAGCAGGCTACAGAAGTCGAGAAGTCGTCAGCATCGACTAATTACGCCAATGTCCTCTGAACTTGCACCAATGGAACACCCTGCCTGTCTTTGGTCATGTTCCATCTCCTCTTCCTTTGCGGGCGCGCAAACCCGAGAGATTTAACGAAGACGTGTATCAAACTTGACCACACGACGCGAGTAACTCCGCACTTTGGATGCTCTGCTCGCGACCAGTCCGCAGCATGCATCGACGCGACACTCGCCTCCAATCAACACCATGGCTGCCCATCAGTATCTGACATTGGCTTGGTTGGGTCCCAATCGGTACGACTCTTTCACAGGTCCTTTTCTCCCTCTTCCATCCATCCCCATGCTTGCGTTCCGCTTCCGCGGATGACGTTCGCGTCTAGTTGTCACAGGCTGAGCCTCCACACCAACCAGGGAGAGCGGTTAACAGGACTGTGGTCATATCACACCAATGGATAGGGTGGTGGATGAATGCGCGAGCGATTCTCAGTTTCTCGAGATTAACGACTAGGGTCGCCATCCACTTGAGGCCCTTACTGGATGACGGGCTGTTGGTGCTGCCGTGTGTTTTTGTGACTGTGATTTTAAATTGCCCAAAGGAAATTCTGCCGGGTACACACACCATTTCCGCCTGGTTTAATAATGACTGTTTGGGGATGCAGCCGTCCTAGAATTAGCCAGCCCAACCAAAAACAGGCATTCCACTTGTGGTAGGCGTGTCCAAAAGTGTCACACCACACCTCGTCACCGGCAGAGTTTCTCGTTGTCCTGGCAACGACCCTAGAACGCGTCCCCACCCCTCCCCAGGTGACGTAAGTGGGGCGACGCCCAGACCACCAAGAGTTCGATGACTTTCCGAGCAAGGGTGACAATGGCTCTGAGAAACAGACAAGGGCGTGCCGCCACCCGGCTTTGACAGCGCCAACGAAAGCCGACTGAGGTTGTGAGCGTCCGGGTAATGGTAGCAGAACGGAGCATCATGTTGCTTACCAGTTCCCCATTGTCGGTTGGAATTTCGCATTAAACTACGGAGTGTCATTATACAGTACAGTCTGC